AATGAGCGATTGAAATGTGTCAATGAGCGATTGAAATGTGTCAAGTTGCTTAAGGTAAAGTGAAAATCGATGAGTATTCATATCTGCTTTGCGAGAATTTCATACCTAAATAATGACTTTCTTTTTAATGAAAAATCCTCCAATTTTTGCTTACAGCTATGAAAATGTGTCAAGTTGCATTAGATTATTTATTTACCACCTTTCATACGTAACAATTTCTTCCTTTTCAGAGAACTCTTTCATTCAGGATGAGCTATGAAAATGTGTCAAGTTGCTTAAGGTAAAGTGAAAATCGATGAGTATTCATATCTGCTTTGCGATGAATTCCATACCTAAATAATGACGTCCCAATTTGTTTTGTGTTTTATGAAAAAAAAAATCCTCCAATTTTTGCTTACAGCTATGAAAATGTGTCAAGTTGCATTAAGATTAAGTGCAAACTAAAAAGGAATAGATTTATAAATTGGAGGATAAAAGGATGGACCTTTTCTCCCCAATAAGAAAAAGCATAAAACACCTATCTGCTCCTATGATCTCTAACTTTGAGACGTCACCTTTTTTTTCATCTTTTCGGTTCTTCGAAAAAGGAACAAGTTGTTGTTTAGGTTTCGCTCGACTCCTTAGTTTCGTTAGTTATCCCATTCCTTCTTTTATTTCTTTCTCCGGTCTTTTTGGGTCCGAAGAGGCGACGGTGGTTGCTGCTGGTGAAAGATCAACGTCTGTTTAGTAGGTAGAAAGGTTGGGATCGACCCCGACTCCGCGTCTGCATGTATGCTGCATACATATATACGTATACATGCACGTGAGCGTGCGTGTGTGTGTGTATGTGTATTGTGAGTGGCAATAGTTTTATGTTTTGGATTCGAAATCAGTCTGAGTGCGGTGAGCGAACGCGCCGCTCGTTTTTCAAAAAGGAAAAGCCGAGAGTCTGTTGGTTGGTTGGGTGTGATAGAGAGGAGATATTTTACACGGAGAGAGAACCGGAGGTAGTAAGAACACCTCACCTCTTCTTCACCAAATATCATCCGCAATACATCATCGAAACCGCGGAGAGCAGAGAGACGAAACGACGGAGGTAGAGGCAACAGCGAAAGAGATACAAACACACACATACATACACCTTTCCGAGCACGGCACAAAGAATCATCGTAGGAAATATATAGTTACGTGGGTGTCCCGAGTTTCGCGAGTGCGCGTTTTCCTTCCTTCATCGCTTCTTCCTACCAAATTTCCTTGGTTCTTCATTTCCGCCGGACCGAACGCAAGTGATGTGAGAGGTGCGAACCTGAGGAAATCTGTTCTTGTTGTTTATTGTTTTCGTTTGTTGTTAACATCATCATCCACATATAAAAAGTGCGCAGACAGAGCGAATAAACCACCGACGTTACATAAGGTATTTCGGGATCTGTTTGGATTTTAATTTTAGTTTAGTGATCTCATCTCGCGACTTTTCGGAAACCCAAAGAGACGAAACGAAACGAAATACATAAATATAAAGAACGAGAGAGAAAGACCTCTGTTAAATTCCAATTGGAATATCCTTTGTTCGCAATTTATAAACTACAATTTCCAATTTACTTCCACCAAAAAAAGAAAGAAACATTCATTTACTAAACTAAACGTATTGTCGCTAAACGCTTATCGATAATGCCACGACGAGTCACATGTTTCTTATATTTTTTTTTGTCCTTTCAATTTATGCATAAAGGATAACAAATTTAAAAAAAACACATGTGCTTTACATGCGACGCGATTACATTTGAAATTTTGCAATTCATAAATAAACTATGTAATAGAATAAATAAATACATTTTCATTAGACCCAAAGAACCGTAACTTTTGATTGGTATGTTTCTGTTTATGCGACTCAGCACTGAGCTAGGTCAACTGCGGAAATGTGTTCTAGCTGTAAATGTAAAGACTAGGAACAACAACATTCATTTATATGTAAAAGCAAAGAAACGCGACTGCTTTAAAGACAAAATTCATTAAGAAATTGGATCCCATTTGTTACGTAAACTAATCGAGAAAAAATTTAATTTTGAATCGATTGAAACTATTAGCGTGAAACGTTTCCTTTACTTCTTTCAAATAAACAAAACTGAAGTAGTCTTATATTTAGATGTTAATCATTACCAGTATTATGTAAATGTTATTTGTGAGCAACGTAAATGGATTTAATTGTATTAGCAATTTCTTGAAAGTAATTTCAAAGTTAAATGCAAAAAAAATGTTTTTATCAGAGAAATATAATGGGTTAAGTGTAGTACGCTAAAGCAATCATTAAATTTTAACATGCTTAGTTAATTTAAGGAGGAATATTGTAAGCTTGTTTAAATACCATGAAATAGCGCAATAAGACACGTTTTTAAACTATATACTTCTATACTAACTGTATGTTAAAAACTGAAATTTTTCAATTCATATTTTTTTGTTCCTTTTTAAATTGATAAAAATGTACGAATAGTTCAATGATATTTTAGAATATCGAAATAACCTAACTTAACATTTCTAATAGTAAAAATTAATAGTATAATTTGATGCCTAATTATTATTATTTATAAATAACCAGTAATTATTGATTGCATTTGTGTTGAATAAAGTTTGAAATCTTATAAGAAAGTAAAAGTCTATAGAATAAGAAGCTATAGTTCGAGGTCTTTCTGTAATCAGTAAATACAGTCAAAATAATTTGAGCAAAGTTTCGTAATTATAATCTGATAATTTTTCATATTTATTTATTTAATCATTTCGTATTTAATAAATAAATAAATAAAAACAATTTTTATTTTTAAATAATCTTCTAAGTTTTAGATTTAATGAGTAATTAAGTTATTATGAGATTAAGACGTATAAATGTTATGATTGTAGAAACGTTGCAATTGACAGATCTCCCACGATTTGACGTTTTGTTGACATATTTCATTCAGAAATAACCCAAATAAATTACGATCTATTTATGAAACTAACATTTCGATTCGAGCGAATAAATCCCCCAATTTCAATAACTCGATAATTCTGAACTTTGAATAATTTTCAATGCTCTATCTCAATTTTTTTTCTCAATTAATAATCCCACTTGATCCTCTTTCCATGACGTCCAAACAATTAGCTGTATGTTTTTTTTCTTTCTTGTTGCCGAATCGTGCGTCAATGCACAATCTCGTGATTTCAAAGTTTCACTCTCATTGTTTCACCTTCACTTCGTATCATTCTTCTCAATATGCATACATTCCCATGCTTATTGCTAAGATTAAAAGAAACAAACAAATTATCTAATTCCGATAGTAATTACATCCTATCATCTCCATTTGATACAATATGATTGTCCTACATTTTTTTTTTGTAATCAGTCGTTTCGTTATGTTTGATTGCAACATATTTGTGTTTCGAAATTAACGTAATTTATGGATTATTTCAATTCAATCAAAATTTAATTAGTTATAAAAAAAAGAAGTTGTTTGCAAGGACTTTGAGACAACGTCTGTAGTTAGTAACAATGATCATTTCTTAGTATTTCTCGTTATCCTCAAAAGGCAGTGAAAGGTTTTCTGCAAAAAAAATATCAATAGTTATTATAACCATAAAGAATATTTACGTACTTATCTTATTTTAGACAAGAAAATCCTCATATCTTTATCTATAATTAAAACATAATATATCAAAAGTTTTCCAATTAATTGGATTATCTGCCAAATTTGAACATTGAGTTTACTTACTAGATTTCTATTGATAGATAATCTTTATTATTGTTTAGTAGGCGAGGAACTAATAATGTGTTTCTTTTGTTTACAGATGATTTCAAGATAATTGTTCTTTTCGATAATTGGTAACGATAACAATGGGTTTTTCGACGAATCTGCAAGGAAGGAGTGCCCATGAGGCGCTCCTCTCACGGCAGGACGCCGAGCTTCGGCTGTTGGAGACGATGAAGAGATGCTTAGCTTCGAAGGTCCGCTGCGACAGGGAGTACGCGATAGCCCTGAGCTCTGTGGCGACGCAAGGATGCAAGATCGATAGGGCCGACGAACTGACCGGAAGTCTGATAACAAGCTCTTGGAAAGGGATGATGGAGGATCTGGACAGCGCCGGTAAACTGCTGAAGAGCAACGCCGATTACATCGAGTCCAAGACTTTAGACGCCCTGAATACCCTCTACTCGGACAAGAGGAAGGCGAGGAAGCAGTACCAGGAGGAGCACACCAGAATAGCCCAGCAGTTCACACATGTGAGTAGCGACGAAAAAGAGAGAGAGAAACGCCTATTTTCGAGCGAAACCTAATTTTAGACCACGCGGATCTGCTTTCGTCCGCCTGCGCCCGTGCATCATTCTTTCTTAATTTTTTTTTCTCTTCTCATTCTGCACATATTCGCATTCCCCGTCGCGGCTACAGTATCTTCCACGGCGAACAAAGCGTAACGCGATCATTATGTAATTGAATAGCAGCAGCAGTTTTGAAAGTGAATGCTATTTTGCATTCGTTCTGGCGTGTTGGTTGAGCAACTTCTCTGCTGCTGCTGCTTGAGACGGCGATCGCTCAGCTGCAGGATTAATTGGAATTTGATTCATTCGTAGGAGTCAACAATTAAAGTTATTAATAGATGCCGGAGCGGACAGAATGACAGCGACCTGAGAATCATGCCGTTGACGCAAGCCAACTGCAAACAGCTCAGACTCATTTCTTTGTCCGAGAGACTATATTGACTGTTCCGAATGGTTGCGCAACGTCTCTTTCCTGAATCGCACCTACCTAGCTTTGTTTTAGCGATCCGTTGTTTGTCCTTTGTTTTGGCAGACTGTTCGCTCCATTTTCCCATGCCAAGTTCAACTCCCATCTGACATTTCCATGCACAAACACCTGAAACGTCTCTCTGGGCTAGACACTTCGACATTCAAAGATCGATAATTACATAACTAAATATTACACAATACTTGCCAAGTAACTTGGAGATCATCATCATAACTTGCAGTTCTTAACTTGAGACAAGCATCCACTATGAGGCAATTCAACTTTAAACGAACTTACCATGGCAACGCATAATATAAATACAATTATATCATGTTACCAACTTCAAAAAAGAAAATTTAATCAATAAATTTCAGTTTAGAACTAGAAATCTGGACAAATGTAATGGAAATTGGGAAGCCACTAGAAATATGATAAATGCATGTTGCAATATTGTTCTCTATAATTAGATTTTCTTTTTTTAGAAATTGAAAACCATCTGTTTTCATCTGATGAAATACATTTAGTTAAATTTGGAATTTACAAATTACTTAAAAATAATAATTCGCACTAAATAATCCATAGATAAATACGGTTTATTATAATTTAGATAAGAGCGATTACAATTGTATTTGATAATTTTTTTTTGAAATATAGGATATTGAAATAATAGAATGTGTGTGTCTTTGAAACATTGGAACACACTCGTTAATCTCGTTGATGTTGCGCAAACAGGAATTAATTAGAATTGGAATTGCGCGAATGAGTAACAACAAACAACACGTTGAATATCTTAACGAAAGAAGTAACATTTCAAATAAACGCCCAGAAGCTATTTTGTATTTTACTACAATGTCTTCATAATTCGAGATAAGTTTGAATGTTTTCTACCCACGCGAAATGATTTTATTTTCAAATGTAAATAAAATTACGCAAGCAGACTTAATTGATGGATCGATTAAATTTGCGTAAATCAAATTGTTATGTATTTATATACTCATTGACGTTTACATAATTTAGAGGTTTTTTTCTTGATTGTGTCACATTTGGGTATTTAGTTTAATTATAATAAGTAATAACTTTCTTTTTATATAATATAAATCTTAGGTTAAATTATGAAAGGTTACTAGTGTTGAGGATACTGATTTTTGACACTTGTCATTATTTTGACATTCTGTAAATATAGTCATATATAGGATTCCTCTTGCAGCGCCACTCTTCGCGTCTCGTTCCAAATTATGAAAGGTTACTAGTGTTGAGGACACTGATTTTTGACAGTTGTCATTATTTTGACATTCTGTAAATATAGACAGAACTGCAAATTTTTAAATGAATTGGGTTGTATATCATGAAGTAAACTGAAGAGGTGAAAAGGGTTTCAGCAAAACCCTTTTTCTCGTGTGTGTGTGTGGGGTTAATTCTCTCGCCTGTATTGTTGTGTGGTCGAAGGAGAAGAGCGTCTGGCGTTGTTCAGTGTGCCAATAAAAAGCAGGTAGTTGAGAATTCGGTCCTCCCCAGGTCCAAAGTCCAACCAGTGGACCCGCCGCACGGATTTCAAAGAAACCAAGAGTCGAATCGCGTTTTCCTCTCCTCCCGTACCCATTCTTACAAGCCGTTTCTTTCGATCTTCGTTGCGAGAGCAGCGGACCTTATGGTCGTGCGAGCGCAGAAGCTGCAGCAATAATTATTAATAGGTTGGTTACGGTTAAGCCGGTGTTTGTTCTTTCATTTTTCCTGTTCTTTCCGTGAATGTGCGGAGAAGCCTGTACAGCATACACATACAAACATATACAGAGGTGGTGCCGTGGCTTTGGCTCTTCGATTTACCTTCATTGAACAACACACGAAGAGCAACTTTCCGAGAGAGAGTCAATGAACTAAAACTGTCGACGTCGACTCTCGGGGGGCCTTCTCTCAGCTGACCGCACCGCATTTTATATACACAGTGTTCATAATAAAACCCCGAAACATGACAATAAAACGGAATTATAATTACTCAAATGGAACATTCCATGATGGTATTTTTGACCTCCACTTATCTATTTTATATTTCTTGTTTAACAACCGCAACACCTAACATAACTCTCTCTTTTGTCAGAAATGACATCTGAACATGACAGGTACATCAATCAATTTTCACTCATAATTATTTTTAATTACAAATTACTTAACAAGTAAATACTTTACAAGAATTGTTATGCATTCGATTTAACTGAAACTACATAAATTATCGTGAAATCCAATTGGCAGGATAATTTTGTGTAATTTAGCTATAATAAATAGGAAGTTAATCTCGCTGCAATAAACAAGAAGTGCTGGAATTCAATTACGTCGGATTTTATAAATAATTCAGGAAAGTCCGTATATAATTGTATGTTATTGGATGATATACGTGAATATGCTTATTTATATATGAAGCAAATACATTATTTATTATTAAGTCCAACATTTTCATATTTTTAATAACAGTAAACAAGAAGTGTATATGAATCATGAATAAAGATTTCTTGTTGAGAAGAAGGATTCATGTCAATATTTATTAAAGAAATCGTCTGATAATTACATATGTTGTAATACTGTAGATTTCTTGAATAATAAAAGTGACAGATAAATGACAGATTTTACCCTATGTCAAATCGTCAATAATGTTACT